CCAAATCCTACATGTCTAGCATCAAAAACCCCATTTGTTCTTTCATCTCATCCAATTCCCCACGAAGTTATTCCATAACTTGAATCTGATCACGGAGCAGCGAGAAGCCAAGATTTGCAGTTCTGAAAAGAAAATACCGAGTCTTAATAAGGATTCTCAAATCCGAGTACCTTATGAGTACCTGCTATGGATACATGAAGATGCATGCAGATGCATGAGGTGAATGAGCAGATGCAATGCCATGTTCAAACTTTTTTTTTTGTGTATAATCTTTCACATTTCCTTTTTTTTGTGTAAAATAAATATGCTATGATGCAATGTGCAACAACATAGGTTCAAAAGTTCAGCATAGAAACTGCACAATCCTCTAGATAACTATTGTATCAATCTACTGAATAATCCGGATATCACCGGATCAAAGGTTCGACACCATTTTCAGAACACAATGGAAACAAGTACCACGAATTACCGTTGTATAATCTCTGAATATGTTGAATATACCAGGATCAAAGGTCCAGAATAAAACCAAAGAACCAGGGCACCAACAGAACATACGGTCACCATCAGAACATAGTCACCATATGTACCTGTAATAATCAAGTCCCTCCCCACTTACGGGTGAAAACTAGGTTAGGGTAAGGTCATGTAACCCAGAATTGAGGGTACTCCTGAAAAACTATCACCATATCACCTACGTGAAAATGATAGCCCCTCATTTGTACCTCATCTGAGCGTGGAAGACATGGCAGCAATAGTGAAACCTAAGTCAACTAGTCGTTCATGTTCCACTCTATTCCTAGAGTCCTTATGTTTGTCATTTGACCTGGGTAATGGGCCTTTTACCTCTTGTAACACCCACCCAATCATGAAAACAAATCCAACACAACAGTATGACCAATATATGGAAAATGATAAAATGCAATGCAAACATATGCTCAAATAAACATGTATAAAATGAACAAGCTATAAAGCATAAAAATAAACACCCAAGGAAAAGAGAACAAGAGCTAGGATTGACTCTGGGATGGACCAGCAATAGGTCAATCTGTCCCCAGTGAAGTCGCCAATTGAAACAACTGGCTGAATAATCAACTGATAATGAAATCAATAAAGTCTCCATCAAACATTTTTATCCCATGAGAAGGGAAAGGTAAACATAGAGTAAACCTGAGAAGGGTGAAATCACGATCAAACGACCGAGATATCTGGTAAGGGAGTCTATTATGCGAGGGGAAGGTATTAGCACCCCACACGCCTGTAGTACTCTATGGTATCCACTCTTGTTGTCTATTTTATGGGTGTGTTTAATTTAAAGCTTACAAGCTAAAAGAAAATGCAAAGAGGGAATGCATGCAAAAGAAAAGAGAAAATAATGTATGGAAATATAAAAGTATTGCTCGTTCGGGCCCTACACCAATGCCTACGTATTCCTTTTAAGGAATCAGAGCAGCCGTAGTTCGGCTTCAAAAGTTTTATTGGTTTGTATTTTTTAACGAACAATATTAATTTTTCCTTCTGCGCAGCTCGACCTTCGGAGACTTACGCGTCAGCACATAAGTGAATTAACATTTTCTTTTGAAAATTTTTGAAAGAAATATCTGAAGGCGCAAAAGAGTTTGCATTGGTTGATAGCTTTTACTCTAAAGAAGGATTTGGAAGTTGTTAGACGTTTTATGATTTTTCACGAAAAAAAGAGTTTTAATCTTAATGCAAGGATGCAAAAGAAGCAAAAACATCTAAGGGAGACTAACCTAGATTTATCCCTAATGTTATCATACCATGATTGATCCTAAAGCTGAGTTTTGAAGGGAAATCTCTACCCTATGTTGACATGCTTGGATGACAATCCTAATGTCTATCTTAAATCATGATCTATAGATGAATCAAGAAGTTCTAAAGGATCATAGAAAGGGTTTATCACCTAAAACTACGTCTATCTCGAATCATCATCTATAGATGAATCAAGAGCTCCTAAGGGAACATGCTAAGGGTCAAAACATGCACACAAAGATGAAATCAAGTAAGCAAGCCAATAAGATCAAGAGAGCACATACAATATGTCATGAGCAGCTCGTGCTAACTCAAGTCAAATAAGTAACCAAGATATTGAGGATCAAGGTAGGAAACCAAATCAATAACTAAAAGGCTCAAGAGAGAACACCTAGAGAGATCCTATCTAGGCTAGCAAGCCAAAGAAAGTCTAACAAAACTATCCTATGGGGAACATGCACTGAGAGAGTAGTCGTGATCTCAATTTCTATATTGAGTGACTCATCAATCAACAAGAAATAAAGGAAAGCGATAAAAATACTATAGGGAGCATGCACTGAGAGTGAAGTCATGATCTTAATTCCTAAATTGAGTGACTCATCGATCAACAAGAAATAAAGCAATAACATCCTATAGGGAGCATGCACTGAGAGCGAAGTCGTGATCTCAATTTCTAAATTGAGTGACTCATCGATCAACAACCCAGGAAAGCAACACAATCACAACACATATAGCAAATAAAGTGCGAAAGGCCTGCTACAGGTCTTTAAACAGCGACTTCGAGCACACGCTCTTATTTCTTGCTTCCTACTTCACATGATCTCTAGAAAGCGATAAAATGCTAGAATGAGAAACCCGAGAAAATACCAAATAAACAAAAGTTCATAGCATGGCAAGCAAAACAGAGAAACCCGAAAAACTTTGAGTAAGCTTCACCAAGCAAAGAAAAGAGTCAGAAATCAAATGCTCGGGATAGGTGTTGAAGATTCATCAATGTGAAAATAAAGAACAATCGAAATCTCAAGCGCGTCCGCATATCGCACAATAAACCCGCATATCAAGTAATCAGATAGTCGAGATCTAATTCCTAATAAAAAACATAACAAAATTTTTATATTTGATTTTATTATTGTTTGTTATGTGAAAAAAAGTTCAAACAAATCTAAAGAATTCACAAAATTATTTAAAGGAAAATACTAAAAAAATAAATCTAGGGGGTGCAAGCCAAAAACCAAGGGGTGTAGGAGGTATCTGGGCGCTAGGCCCAGCTAAATCAGGATCCAATCAGCTTTTTTGTTACAAACAATCAGGCTTAAAAAAAATAATTTGCTACGGGCTTTAGGGGTGTAAGCTAGAAACGGGTGGTGTTGTAGAAACAAGATGAGTCACTGAAGGCCCATCACAAAAGGAGTCCAAGAGTTGTTTTTTATATGCAACTAAGGCTTATAGTGTTAAAAACGCACATAAGCGGGCCTAAAGGACATATGTGGTTCAGCCCAGGGTCCAAGCATCATCAGTTTCAATTCATTATCTTCAGTTCTTTTCATTAAAACAAAATAAGAAAATGAATTAAACCTAGAACGATGCGTTTCAGATCAGCCTAGGGTTAAAATCGTTCGTGATGTTTCAGCTTCCATGATCAAAACCTCTTCACTTTCGTCTTCTTCTACCTCCCAACATGAACAGCGGCCAGATACTCTCTTCTTCTCTTTATTTTATAGCGGCAGAAAACCTCTCTTATTCACCGCGCCAATTTTCTTCTTTTACTTCGTGTCGAACATACCATTCACCACCATTTCTTTTGGTTCCACTCATCTCGCTAACCTCCTGATCGTCTTCTGTTTCATCTACTTCGACTCGAGACTCATCTCTGTGAATGCTCATCAATTTCTCCTCAATCATTCACAGGCTCAAGCGAACATTTAACAAAAGAGCGATGAAGAGAGGAGTATTTCTTACCTATTGGAGATCGATCGGACGCGTCTTCGATAATGATAATGAAAAGAAAATCAATGAATCAGGTATGCGCTCTTGGTTTTAAACTTCTCCTTCTACGCGCGTTCTTCTTCTGCGATTTCTACGATTTTGGATCTATGTGTACTCTGTGCGATTCAGTTGCGATGTTGTTGTTCTTGAAGATGGATAGTGAATCGTTAACGATGAAGATGCATAATTCTTGATAAAGACAGTGATTACGATTCTTTAGAAGAAAGATGAATAGATGAAGATGACGAAACGATGCGGTGGATGATAGATGAAGATGTGGAGAATTATGCAGGTTGAGGATGATAATTGTAGAGAAGAGTTTGGTGGATTGAATTAGCAGAAGAAGAATTTTCTGTGGTTTTCTTGGAAAATCTTCTTAAGAGAATGAAGAATCATGGAAGGCTTAAAAATAATGCAGAGAGAAGAGAGATATTTTTCTGATTTTTTTATAGATGAAGATGAAGATCCAAGTGATGTTGAATGATGAGAAAAGAGAGAAAATTGAAGATTGCCGAGAGTGTTTTTTTTCTGTTGAATTTTTCTGTTATTATTCTCTGCAGCATTGAAAAAATGAATATCAAAGGCGAGCTTTTTTCTTTTCTTTTTTCAGTTTGTTAGAAAAAGATTAGTTATTCTGCTAGAAACCAGTAGGGTGAAAATTAGTTAGTTCTGTTATGAAGAAATTCTGTTAGGATAGTTATAGTTAGGACAAATTCAGTTATCAAGTTTGTTATGGATGTTAATTGGTAGTTAGAAATTCTGTTTGAATGATGTAAGGCTGACTCGGCAACAGGTTTTTGCTGGTGTGATGATTTTATGAGGTCTGGCTTATGTCTTTTGAACCGGTACGCAATGCTGCAATGGCATGGTTTTATTGAACAACTAGCCTCAAACTGATTTTTGTAGTGTGTTAACTCTGCTTGATTTATATTTTCCCTCTGTTTTGTGCAGGTTATATGAATATTTTGGTAGGAGTTTGAATCATGGTTCCCTCCATCTTGTATGTCGTTCACATCATTTGATTCTGTTGAATTCCTTTGTCACCGGGATCCATGTGCTTTTCCTTTCCAATCTCTAGTCTTCCTGTTATCTCCATTTTTAGATTCCATTGCAGAACCCACTTTTCCAACACCTGAAATAGCATGCTAAGTCATCTGAGGACCTTGAGGACCTGAACCAACTCTTTCAACATAGTCATCCATTGGAGCTTGACTTGCTGAAGAAACCATTTGTTGTAAACCTCATTACTGAGCCATTTCTTTGGCAACAGGTTTTGGAATATGTGTCTCCATTTCAGCCCTCTTATATTTTAAGTTATGCACCTTCTTATCACTCTTCGCAGGAACAATTGCCTCAGTTTTACTTTTCTGACTTGATTCGTCCAACATCTCTATCTTGTTAGGTGGTTCAACATGTGCCTACATCAAAACATCACTCCCATGGGATTTCTCAACTTGTCTATTAGCCTGTGTGTTTCTTGGTATCCTACGAGAATGCTTTGATTTTAACTGGCTATTCATTCCACCATAAGATTCTTCATTTTCTACAACTTTTTGGTCTGAATACTGATTTGAGTCTTTAGGCAAGAATGATGTCTGAATTGTATTGGATAGGCTTTTTTTGGTTATATTTTAAGATTGTTTGGACGAGTTATGAACTGATTTGGCGATGTTTTGGTGCATGTTTTAGCATTGAAGCATGAAGAGTTTGAAGTTTTGTAAATGCTAGCATGGTGGAGGCTTGAAGTGGACACATGATATACGAAAAATGTTGGTTGGCGTGAAGGTTATCAAAGGAATCAGCAAAGAAGCATGAAGAATAGGTGGAAGATGAAGATAGAATCTAAGGTTTAGAATTTAGGAATTTTGGTTCAAATGTATTTTGTATGAATTGGTTAAAGTAAGAATGGTGTATCTAGACTAATCTTGTAATGGAAATATGGTTTTTGAATGGTAGATTTGGAATGTACTTGAACCACGATTTTACAATTCTTTCTTTTTCAACATTTCATACTACATTTCATACTTATCAAGACTTGAAAATATCAATGAACGGAAATACCAATGAACCAAAACTTATCCTAATTTGCATTTCGACATTTAGAGCTTTCTTCTTGACTTTTCAATATAGAACCTCGAATGAAACTTGAATTTTTATGAACCTTTTTTTGCGCCAATAGATCCATGTACGAAAGCCCCGATAGCTTATATTTGACTTTGAGATGATCTTGTATCAAATCCACAACATTCTCTTGCAACGCTCCATATGAACTAGTCTTCTCATGACGATTCACAAAAAAACCTAATTGTGAAATGCGCCACATGAATGCCATGCAACAAAAACCTTAAGATCTGTCTGATAACCACTAGCACAAGAAAGAGAACCCCTTGCCGTGATTAAATCTCAAATCCAATGCATTTTCTTGAAACAACCACTATGCAAAATCCCAAATTGGATCGATGATTCCGGAAGAAGAACCTCCATTGGAGTACAATAGCTGAAAAACCCTGATCTTTGCTCGCACATTTGGAAATAAACCTTAATAGTCTTGTAGCTTGATGAAGAAAGAAATTCTTAATGACCACGACTCACAACCCTAAATCTTGACCTCACTGCTCGAATAAGAAATCAACATTTATTGGATACGAACGCCTTAACCACTGTGAAACTCTAATATCACACGACCACTGAACTTTGAACATCAAACGCTTTATTCAATGCAAATGCATGTTATGTTAGTGTATATGACCTAATGAAAATATATGAATGCAAAAGCGTAAGCCAGATAAAAGAAATTAGGAGGGGAAATTTTGGAGTACAACACCTATCTAACACTTTCACCAGTGTTCTGAAACAATTTCATGCTTGGATCATATGGTGTGCTTGCAAGTTTACATTCAAAGTAATTATATGTATTTAAGATCTCTTCCACATAGTGTGATTTATCCAAATAAATTCCTTGCTCAGATCTTGTGATCTTGATACCAAGAATCACACTCGCTTCTCTGAGGTCTTTCATATCAAAGTTATTATGCAACAATGATTTCATATCATTAATGACCTAAATGTTTGATCCAAATATGAGTAGATCGTCTACATATAGACATATGATAGTGCAAATACAATTCTCATATTTGTAATAAACACATTTGTCACTTTCATTCACTTTGTATCCATTCGATATCATTAAGTTATGAAACTTTTTGTGCCATTGCTTAGGAGCTTGTTTTAGTTCATATAGATGCTTGTCTAACTTACAAACCTTGTTTTCTTGTCCATGGATCGCAAATCCTTCCGGTTGTTTCATATATATTTCTTCTTCTAAGTCACCATTTAAAAATGCTTTTTTAACATCCATTTGGTGTACTATTAAGTTATAAATAGCAACTATTGAAATAAGTACCCTAATAGATGTAATTCTAGTGACTGGAGAGAAGGTGTCGAAGAAATCTATATTTTCTCTTTGTCTAAAATCCTTGGCTACAAGGCGATCCTTGTATTTATTAATAGTTCCATCAGGTTTTAGTTTCTTTTTCAAAACCCATTTACAACCGATTAGTTTGTACCCAAGAGGCAAGTCTACCAAGTTCCAGGTCTTATTAAAATCTAGAGATTCTATCTCATCATTAATAGCTTCTTACCATAAATCAGCATCTAGAGATGACAAGGCTTCTTTAAGATTTATTGGATCTTCTTCTAAATTATAAGTCCCATAATCGGGACCATAGTCTTTAGCAACTCTTACTCTTTTACTTCGTCGAAGTTCGGTTTCTTCAATGTGTTTGCTTCCTATGCTTCTTATCACAAGAATGTGACTCGATTGTGTGCCCCCACTATTTCTCGATTTGAAAGGAAATTTGTCTTTATAGAATTCAACATCATTTGATTCTATGATCACTTTTTCATTTAGGTCATAAAATCTATACACTTTACTGTTTGCTTCACACCCAATGAATACACATTCATATGCTCTACTAGTGAGTTTAAGTCGTTTCGGATCCAAAATTCTAACATAAGCCAGACATCCCCAAGTTCTCAAATAAGACAAGTTTGGTTGTCTTTTCTTTAATATCTCATAAGGAGAGATCTTACTTTTTGACTTGGGGACTATATACTGGACATAACAAACAGTCAATAAAATCCCCCCCCCCCCCACTAGTGAGGTGTAACACTAGAGTTCATAATTGCAACAAAAAGTTCAGTAAGAGTTCTATTCTTTCTTTTTGCTTTACCATTTATTTCAGGAGAATATGTAGCAATCGTTTCATTTACAATTCCATGTTCTTTATAAATATCATTAAATAAACCAAATTATATTCAGTTCCCCTATCACTATGAAGTCTCTTAATCTTCTTACTAAGTTGATTCTCAATTTCAATTACATACATCTTAAACATGTCAAGCGCTTCACTTTTATTCTTCATTAAGCATACATAAGTATAATCAAAACAATCGTCAATAAAAGTGGTAAAATAACGTTTACTATTTCTAGTTAAAGTTCCATCTGATTCATATTATCAGAGTGTATAAGGTCTAGGGGATCAGATTCTTTAATAATTTATTTATACGAAGTCTTAGTTATTTTAGCTTGACAAAAATATTCACATTTATTTGAATCATTGACATTTAATTTATGGATTATGCCTAATTTGTTTGCAATAGAAATAACTCGCTTATTAACGTGACAAAGTCTAGCATGCCAAATATTAAAATCACACAAAGAGTAAATAGAAGGAGAAATTTTATTAAAATAACCATTCAACTTAAAGATGCCATCAATGGCGTACCCTTTCCCAACAAAAATACCATTCTTAGTGATGGTGTAAAAATCTTCCCCTATAGACTGACCAAACCCTGCCTTATTCAAAAGAAAACTAGAAACAAGATTCTTTCTAATTTCAAGGACATGAATAATATCCTTTAAAGTCTTTCCTGAGGTGAATTTCAACACAATGTCTCCAATTCCAGCAATATCAGTGGTGTGAGCATTTCCCAACTACACTTTCTTATTTTCAGCATTCATGTATGTCTTGAACATAGCACGATCATAGCAGACATGACGAGAGGCATCTGTGTCTATCCACCAACCAACACTTCCACCAACCATGTTGATTTCAATGATCGTAGAAATGAATTGCTCATTAGTCAGGTTAACCTGTGCATTAGAGCCAACAGGTTTGGGCCTGCTCTTACATCTCTTAGCCATATGACCCGGGTTTCCGCCATTATAGCAAGTGAAAATAGGAGTGTCATTTCTTTGAGTTAGTGGTTTCTATCTAGAAATCGGAGCAGATAGGATCCTTAAGGGATTCCCATTCTTAATTCGGTTCACAACATTGCAATTTTGATTCTTTAATGGTTTTCCCGTAGGCTTCAGAACCACACTGGATCTCTGTTTATTGTTAGAAACAACTATAACTTCATCCTTTTGATCTTATTTTCTAACTTCCTCTTCAATTTAGAGGCGATTGATCAGACTCTCGATTAAAAACTCTTTTGTTTTATAGCGAAGCTCATTTTTGAAATCTTTCTAACCATGGGGAAGTTTTTCAATGATAACAGCAATTTAAAATTGTTCATCGAGAGACATACCTTCTATAATGATTTCATGAGAAATATTATGAATTTTGTGGCTTTGACCTTCTACAAATTTTTTATCCACCATCTTATAGTTCAAGTAGCGGTTGGCAACATATTACTTTGCACCTGCTTCTTCAGTATCATATTTCTTTTGCAGAGCCTCCTGTTGTACCGCAAAATTTACCCTCTCATTTTACTCAACACATGCTTATTGAAGTCCTCAACTTGTTCAAGGATGCCCAAGAATTAACTAGACAAATTCTCTCTTAAGGCCATTGTGATACGGTGGGAGAACTGACTTGGGATTTTGCGTTTGTTTTTGCACTTGTTCGGTTTAGCAAGAGTCGCCACCGACTTTTTATTTTATCCAAAGGAAAGGTCAAAAAGCACAGGAAATACCTTTGAGATGTTTTCTTGGGTTCGGGGGGGGGGGGGGGGGGGGGGGTAGATTATGAAAAGGGAAGGTGCTAGCACCCTTTTCATCCATGGTTATCCATGGGCTCTTAGTTGCTTGTTTTTAGATCACTTGCCTTTGCTTTTCAATTGTTTGAAATGGTACTTTGTGTGTGTGGTTTTGAAAATGTTTTGAAAAAGATGCCTTGTCTAGGAAACCTTTGTAATTATTCTTGTTTGAATATATACAAAGGTGTGTGTCTTTTTGAAAAGATATTCCAATGTTTTGAAGGTTGTTTTGAAATTGTTTTGAAGATGTGTTGTGAAGTGTGCTTGAAAATGGCAAGGATGTTTTGCAAGATTTTTGATCAAGTAACTAAGAGTTGTCTACCCTATTTTACTCAAAGATCTTTCTTATGTTTTTAACCCTTTTAACAGTGTTGTTTCACCATTGTGTTTGATGAATAACCTTGCGTTAGGATGTTAAACGGGACAGGTGTGGGTCATCATATACACTCATTGAAGGAAACTTGTGAGACGCTCTAGCAATTTTGTAAGGGACGAGATCGTTTTATCGAAGGCAACATCAATGGTCATCGAGGGACTACGATCTTTGTTTATTTGAAGGGGCATTTTCTAGAGTGTCTAATACTCGAGGGACATGATTGTATTTTCCGAGGCAACAAGCGAGGTTACCCTAGAGGTGCAAGTGTGAATTATGTATTGATTTTCATGCATTTATCTTGTATTATGTCATCTAGCGATTGATTTTGAATCTTCGCATACAAACCCTAATTACTATACAGTATATGGAAAGCGATAAATTGCGGGAATTTAAAGTCTAAGTTATTACAAATAAGTATCTGGGGATGGGGGTACAAATGTTTACAAATGGGGATGAGTCTTATCAGAATAGTAATGTCCAAGTATATATTATAACCAAATCGAATTGTCGCATTCTCAATGTAAAAATATAACAAGGTATAAGATGATGAAAATTAAAGAGATATGGGATGTGTATATTTATTTACAAATGATCATATAAAATATTAACCTAGGAAAGATTAAGTATAATTATTATTTATTGTATTTTGGTTAATGTTTTTTAGAAACTTATATAAAAAGATTAATTAAACAAAATGTTCTTTTATATTTAATTAAATATACAAATATTAAAGAAAATATATCAAAACAAAATTTATTATTTCTCTTTTTTATTAACAAACAAATTTTTTAGAATAGAAAAAATAAAAAAAGAAAAGTATTAGTTCAAAGGAAATTAATTAGTAAAAGAAAAGTTTGAATATTAATTTAAAAAAAAATTAAAAGGGAAAAAGGATGGGCCTAAGGAGTTAGCAT